CTCTCTCTCTTTCGCTTTCTTTCCCTCTCTCTCTGCCTCTCTCGCTTTCCTTCCCTCTATATATCTCTCTCTTTCTCTTTCCCTCCCTCTCTCTCTTTCCCTCACACTCTCTTTTTCTCTCTACCTCTCTCTCTCTTTCCCCCACTTTCTATGTGTTTCTCTCTCTCTTTCCCTCTGTCTCTCTGTGTTTCTCTCTCTCTTTCCCTCCATTCCTCTCTTTCCCTCCCTTCCTCTCTTTCCCTCCCACCCCCCTCTCCCTCTTTCTCCCTCCTCCCTGGTGTGGGGGGAAAGGAACCCCTGAACTGGTGCTGGGTGGTGGGAATCTGATGTCTGGAGGCTGACAAACCCAGAAGCTACATGCTGAAGACCAGCTGGCTGGCGGGGAGGCGGGGTGTCCCAACACAGGCAGCTCTGCAGGAAAAGCAACTGACCAGATGTCAGTTGCTTTTTTTTTTCTTCTGCCAAACCTAGAAGATGCAGGGTTGCATTGTGGCTGCACACTAAATTTCACTTTGCTGCACAAGGCGCTGTGAGAGTAGGTGGCAGGCCATCGGGGCAGCAACAGCAAATGTACTACAATGAAGGCAGGATGCTGTTTCACACATTTTTTTTAGTCCCTCAAACTTTTGTTTCCCTGCAAATGATGGAGAGAAACGTGATGGAGAAATGTGACGGAGCTGGACTGGCGACAGCGTGCATGCCCACAGAGAGGGCTCTGTGTGCCACCTCTGGCACGCGTGCCATAGGTTCGCCACCATGGTTCTAAGTAGAATATAAACTGGGTAGATGTCTTCTATTACCACGCTTTGAGTGATTGCTTTAATACTTAACCATTATAGGCTATTAAAACACAATTTAGGCAGATGGGAGAATTGAACATTTCTCCCTGTCTCCCTACTATTATCCCTGTCATTATGAAATCCTACCAATGAAATTATCCTCTTCTCCCATAGAAAAATACTGTAGCTGGGAAGAAGTCTTTTTGAGAGGGGAAGATGCATTTATATTTCATCTCTCTGCTTTATATGACTATATTGAGTTGCATTAATGTCTGTGGTGTATCCTTTAAAGCAAAGTTGATCATGATGTTAAATGTCATGTACATGTACAGTATATAAATAATGTATAGACATTTTGGGGTACTTAATAAAAATAATATGGTAGGAAAAAACATGATTATTAATCCATCGGAAGCAGGGGAGAAACTTAAACTTTCCTTCCTGCTGTTATTCAGAATAAATTGTGTCATCTGTTTTGCTTCTTATCTGTAATCCCAAATTACTGCTTCCCATGGGAGCAGAAGCTCTTTGCTTTTAGTTTGACTCTTACGCAATGGCAGCTTCCCCAACATAAAGTTCTACAGATATTTAGGGATGCAGCTCAAAGTTCACCACCCAGAATGTCCTCTGGTCATGTTGGGATTTTGCCTTCTACATTTTGCAATCCTGGTTCATTTGGGGGAAGGCAGGTTACAGAAATCTACTCTCCTGCATCAAAAGGAACAGATTCAATTGCAAATTATAGATATGTCTATTACAGGAATAGACCTTTTTATTGTTCAATAGAGATTCCAGTCACCATGTGAGCACACACTGCTCTCTTAAGTATGATAGAAAAAATTGATGTGGTTGCTGCAGTAGTGATTATGTCCATTCATAATTTGCCTCTTAGGACCCAAATGAGCTTCCCCTAAAGAACTTCCTACTTGTTAAATTAGAAAAAGCATCGGTGACTGAAACTTCCATTTCCATTATAAAAACATCAGTTAACTTACTGCAGCATCTTAAAGAAAATCAATTGAAAACCAAAAATTGAAGGCATTATAAATGGATTTGTACTTGTTTTTCTGAGTTTTCATGACCGGGGTGCTGGGAGGGGAGGAGCTATTTTCTCTTATTCCCTTCAAAACCTTTTCAATGTATTTCTCAATATGGTCCAACAGAAAATATTCACTTAGATAAATTTACTCTTTCTGGTGTAAAATGAGAGCAATGCAATATATTTATATATGTATGTATTGTTTTCTTCCTAGGTTCACAAATCAATGGCAGTTATAGAAAGTACAATTCAGTCATTGATCTGAGGACAAAGCCATTTGGGGAGGATTATTTGGATGATGACTACATTCCACCACCACCTTCAATTCCTCCTCCTTCACCACCACCATTTTCAGTTGATTTACCACCAGTTTCACCTTCTGTGGTAGTTCCACCTCCACCTTCCATGGTAGCTCCACCTCCACCACCAATGACTCCTCCACCTCCACCACCAATGACTCCTCCACCTCCACCTCCACCAGCATTGCCAGCTCCATGTCTTTCAACTATGGCTCCACCTTCATTCCCATATTCTGATGTGCCTTCTCCCAGTACTCCAACTCCACCAGACTTCATTCCTCCTCCCCCTCCTCCTCCCCCTCCTCCTCCAGAGTTTATGGATACTGCGGTATCTTCTATTCCTCCAGTTTCATTACCAGTACATACACAACTCTTCTCAAATGGTGTGTCCAAATGGAAATCAGAAACTTCTCTCAATTCTCCAGCAATACCTATTCACAAGGAGACACAGTTACCGCAGTCCAGCCCAGAGCCTCATCTCACTTTCCCCAAATCATTAAAAGTACCCCCTCCAACTCCCATGAGAACATCATCTATTTCCTCAGGAGAAAAAGACTCCAGTCCCAAAGAATATTTTCCTAGATTGGTACCTGACAGTCACACTCCTCTGTTACCTACTGTATCATCTGCTACCATAGTTTACTCAGAGGCAGAAGCTAGAGCCAAAACTACTATGGAAAAGCATTCTGCTTTAGTCACAGAATCTGAAACATCAGATTCCAAAAGACACCCACGGAAGAAAAAACAGAGTTTATCTTGGTCCACTGAAGAAAGAACAGAATTTTCATCTCCAGATCATGCATCGTCTGATGATGATATCTGGAAAGAACGTTGCAATTTAGATAAGTTGAAGAATGAACTGTCAACCCTACTGTCTTCAACTTGCAGAAAGGAAGACCGACCAACTGAAAGAATTACAGTTTCTAAAGCTAAAGGCACAGATATTGATAGCAACAATGTTACTACAGATGAATTAAAACTAGTTAAGCATGATGTGAAAAAACCACACTTATCACAAGGAGCGGAGAATGAGAAGAAAGAAAAGAAATGTGCCAATAATTCTCCAGCCAAATCTTTCACCAAAGATGCTTTCTCAACTACAGACAAATTTCCCACCACCCAAGCAAATTGTGCTATGAAACTGAAAGAGGAGTTGGAAGCTTTATTGATTCCAGTCAAGGAAGGAGGCCCACCTTTGGCACTTGCAAACCTGAGACATAATCCAGAAACAAGAAAACAAGTTACTCTTCATTTTTCCAGCAATAAGGTCAATAATGGTGAGTTAAAATTTTCAACAGCAAAATTGGAAGGTACAGAGAAAGAACCAACAATGCCTAGTTCTTCTGTCCACACATACAAGTCACCAATTTCATCTTTAAAACCCAAAAGTGAATATTTGGCTCCAGCTACATCTTCCTCTTCTAATTCTGAGACTACCTTAGTCACACAAACTGCTCCTCCCATCAAGGATCCCTCTGTGCAATATAAGACTCATAGGTCGAGATTGGTCCCTGTTGACAGCCTTGTCTCTGCAATGTCTTCCCAAGCTACACATGATGGACCCAGCAGCCCAAGTAATAATGAAAATCAAAGAGATTCTACTGGAAACATGCCCTCAACAACATCCAAATTATCTAGGAATGCAGAGCAATTGAGCAGTGATATTCTGTTCCATCCTGTTACAGGAGAAAAAGTAGAGAAAGGCTCTCCAATGGCTCTTCTTCTGGCTGCACAACTGCGGGCCAATAGAGTTAAGTGTTCCACTTCTGCCTCTCAAAGTAATAGTGCTTTATTGGAGAAATCTCAGCTCAAGTTGAATAATAGCAGCCAATCAGAGAATGGGTTATCTACCATTTATTACAGCAATTCAAAACCCAACTCTATCAAGGTTGTCCCAAAGTCCCCACACCCACACAAGGATTTATTGGCAGTCTCCGAAAGTAAGCAGTGTAATGGATCAAGTGCACCCAACAACAATATCAGGAGTTTGTCAGGACAAAGTGAAAATATGCCACAAATATTCTCCAATGCTACTGAACAATGCAGGAATACAGTGAAATTCAGGGAGATAAATGAATCTCAGAGTTTTCCATCAAATAAGTGTGGTTCTTCTATTTTGCTTCAAAACTCAAACTCCAGTCACTTGAAGCAGCAAGATCCACTGAGCACATCCAAAAGTCCTTTTCATTTTTTCCCTCCACCCCAAAACCATACAGTTAAGAAGGATCAGGTGGAAGAAGGATTCAATTATGAAATAATTCCTCCACCACCAGAGTTCAGCAATGATACCTCTGAAATCCGAAAGCTTCCTTCAGATACTCAGATCTCAGATATGCAACTTAACTTCAACAACTCAAGCTATAACTATGGTAACAGTTACTCTCTGACATCAGCAGTCCAAAGGCCAAGTGACTATAGTCACCATTATCCAGGTGGCAGCTATACCCCCAATTACCTTAGTAGCTGTTCCAATAGCCGCCCTCTAATTAAAAAACGCCTTTATCTATCAGAGACTGATGACTTATATAGTAGGACAGCTATGTCTGCTCGCAGTATGAGCACACCTAGCTCCTATGGCTACAACTCTTCAGCTGTGGAAGGGATTCATCGAGCAAATTATTCTCACAGAAATGTTCCCAATGGTACACAGGGTCGAAGGGTATCCTTGGAATTACCTGGAAAAATTGTAACTTACAATACTTCTGTCAATGATATCCAGTATAAAAGCCAAAATGGAGACTATTCTACCAATGCCTCTGGCAGGTATGTTTCATTTGTCATAAATATAGGAGTTGTAATGTGAGTAGGGGCTGCATGGAAATATTTTGGCCAGAAGTCAGTATGCAAAGCTGACATTCTGCAGTTTCTTTTGTCCAGTATAATGTAAGCAATCCCTCCTTTTTAGAGTTACAAGCTCATTTTCCATTTAAAATCAAGTTATTATTCAGTCAGGTGACCAGATGACTATCCCTTCAGCCAAATGCCTGCTTCTTCCATACTTATTCCTACAGCTAAGATCACTATCAAAATCACCAAGAGCTCAGCTGAGAGGAAAATACTGTATTGCTAGTGGGTGACTGTTTGATCTGTGCAGCTGTTCATTTCAAATTATATTTAGAGAGAAGACATGGGTACCAAGAAACTTATATAATTCAACAGAATTATTGTTTCCAGGTAGACTGGCACTTTAGTTACGGTATTTTTGAAACAGAAGCAAAAATATTCAAACCATCCAGATTATTATTTATATTGGTAAAATAATTAGAATTTAGCTTATTAGAATTTAACTGAGAAAGCCATTATGCCAAAAAAAAAATCTGTATTAAGTATTTCATATTTGGTATTCGTGTTTCTGGTAATCAAAGTCTATCTCACTAACAAAATCTACTTTGATTTGAAAAGTTTCTTTCTTTAACAGTTTTATCTTGTACTTAGAATGAAATATACCTCTTAATTGAATCTTATTTATTGCTAAGAATTTCTATTGAACTAATGATAATTTTTATATTTCTTCTGTTTAGGCCTTTCCACGTTAGTCCACAATATGGAACTCTAAATACATTTACTGTCAGGCCTGGAACAAGACAACCCATTTCTTATTCCTACCAAGGCCTTCATTAAGACTTTTCTGTCAGAAGCTCTGCATCTGCACACAGCTTGGCCCAATCTTGTACTCAATCTGGACCTCATTCTTTGTTCTGTATTATAACTGTAGGGTCTGTATCTTTTTGTAAACATATTAGTTTTAAGTTATTCAGACAATGTTAAGAATGAGTCTTATGAAGCTATCATGGTAACAAGCGTCTTTGCATAATGTAAGAATAGCTATGTGATTCTAGGGCACATTTGACTAATAGGTGTATGCTTTGAAAAGACGGGCATGGAGTAAATTTTACCTTACTAGCACCATCTTTACAAACATGCATTGGTTATTCAGGGAAAGCAAGCAAAGGAGGAAGAATGCAACAGAATGGTGAAGCAGATAATCCATGATCCAAGATGAAGAGTGTAGTTCAACAACCCACTCATGGCTACTCTAGATCAGCCATACATGGCTTAGAAAGCCAGCTGTTATCTAGAAGAAAATGGCACAGTTGTGGGAAAAGAAAGGAAGAGTTCGGAGGAATAAAGGATGAGCAAGAGAGAAGGATTAAATTTTTGTGATACTTGCAGTTTCAATAGTGCTAGACCAAAGAAAATCGACAGGAGCTTTTGTCTATGGAGATTCTCATTCATCCAGGTCATGGTTATCCCAAAGTTGTTTTTGAAGGAGCAACTGACCTTTTGCTTCTCATCCAATAAGCTTTATCTCTGAGCCCCTTGAAAAAGCATCTTTGGGATGACAAGAGCTTTTCTTAGCAGTGCATCTCTAAATTGTACCCACTAATTTTTTGTTTATCACATCATTGTTAGAATCCTGAATAGAAAAAAAAAATAGAAACCCAGGGGCCCTTGTCAAATATTCTTAGATCTTGCAAAATATTTGAGACCGAACTTCTTCAAAATCATTTTTAGACAGTCATTTAGGTTTTGCATTTTCTACATTTACAGATAAAAATTCTGTACATTCTAAAGACACTAATATAATTCTTGCAGTCCCCTTTAAAAACACACAGCTGAATTTAATTTGGGAGTCATTTTTAATTAAAAACTGTACAAGATTTAAATGAACCAAACAACATATATCTGCCAGGATAACGATTCATTGCTGCATTGTTTTAGTTTTCAAGAATGCCATTATTCTGTCTGCAACCTTGTTTTTCTTGTGGTTTCTTATTGTGATTTAGGAGTTAAAAAATATTTAATGGATACGAGAGATGTTTAGTAGAACAGGTGCCGGCATCTATACAAATTAAACCCAATTATATCTCTAATTGAAGGGGAAAGCATTGCATGCTTAAAGGTCACCTTGGAAAATGTCAAATATGTTTGTTTGGAGGTAAATCTTATTCAATGGGATTTACTGCCTAAGTAGAGGAAAAGAGCTGTAATCCATTTTGGTTTGTACTGGTTATACATGAGAGTTACAGGTAGTTTTTGAATTACCATCATTTGTTGAGCAATTGTTCAAAATTACAGTACTGAAAAAATGACTTACAAATGGTCCTCACACTTGGGACTGTTGCAGCATCCCTGCGGTCATGCGATTAAAATTCACCTTGCCAGCTTGACCACTGGCATGTATTTATGATAGTTGCAGCATCTTGGGATCATGTGATTGACATTTGCGACCTCTTCAGCTGACAAGCAAATCAATGAGGCAAGTCAATTTGCTTAATGGTCACATGACTCAATTTAACAACTTCAACTGTTAACAACCATGGGCAAAAAGATCAGAAAATTGGACACAGCTCATTTAAGAGCCACCTTGCTAAAACAATAGAAATTCTGTTTCCAGTTGTGGTTGTAGTTAATGGATTACTTGTAGTCCAATTATCTATGGATTTAATTTAATGTAATGTAATTTTTAAAACTGAGTGGGAAAATGGCCTTCTCAATTTATTTCTGTTAGATTTTGCAAAGGAACAAGTATATAGCCATTATTTTTATATATTTAATAGATAACTTAGTTTAAATGATAAAGCATCCACGAAAGAGACCTAAAAGAAAATGGATTGACAACATTGGCAAGTATTGCAGACTCAATTGGCAAAACAAAGCTTAGGACCATATTGGTTGGAAAGAGGCAGAAGAGGCCTTCATCCTGCTGTGGACAATGACTAAATGGTGATGAAGAAGATGATGATGATGATATGATGAAATGATAAAGCATGTAACTTCATGCTGAGTTTGCCAGGCAGCAGATTCATTTTTAGAGAAATATTTTGGCAGAATTATGGTGTAGTTTGAGTTCAATTTAAATCACTAAACTAAGGAGATGGTTATCTGTGCCCTAGGGATGCTTCCCATTTAAAGCAATCAAATGTATCAAAACATTTAAGTCAAAAATGGCTTAAATAGGTGTAATCTGCAAACCATCTTCTATATTGTGTTTATTCACTCTATTTACATATTACTTTATTTCTTGCATATATATATATATTCGGGAAAAGACCCGAATACACCAAAACTTGCATACCTCTACCCGTGAAAATCTACAAAAACATATATATATGTGTGTGTGTGTGTGTATGTGTGTGTGTGTGTGTGAACCTAGAGTAAAGCCACCTCTATCAGGAGTCAGAATGAACTTACTTTAAACAGAAGATGGGTGGGATGAAAGGAAGTAAGTGGTTAGTTATTTTGTTTATGGTTTTTTCCCTTTGATTATTATTTTTTTTTGTTCTGTATTTTTACTGCCAGGATGGAAAGACGTACTTTTGTGATTTTGCTGCCTCATGTGTCAGAGGAACTGCCCTGCCATGATTAAGTATCCATTTGTTGCTCTGCTTCAGGCAAGGGAACAACTTGGACTAGCCCTGATTATAACCTTTGATACTAAGATAAACTGATTGGAAAAAAAAATGTCCTGTCCTCACCCTCTTGTCTATAAGATCTAGGAGGCTTCTGACCTTCAGTAGAAGCAGGAGTTTGTCCACATGTCCAATAGTGAGAGATTCTGTTCAGGAAACTCCCCATGTGTGCATTATGTTTTAAAATGGAAACATTGGATATTTCCAGTATGCAAGTAAGGTAGTATTTTCAGTAATTCAGCATAAATGTTACATGAAATTGTCTTAGATTTTACCTATATTGACCATTCATATGATTAGTTTTGACCAAACTCCGGTTTCAAAGAAATAATAATTTTGATTGATTATTGCTTATTTTGGCAGGAGACATAAAACTATTTAGAAAAACAATAAACAACAGCTTTGTATTCTCAGCATCTTTTCAAAGTTCTGAAACTCATTTCAGACTGCATGTTTGTAAACAATCACTGAGATATGCCACATCAGCAGCATAATAATTGTGTATTTTAAAGCCAATCATTATTTCTACACTGTTTTTAAAAACCATCTGGCCTTCTCAAATGATTTCTGCATGATGTCTATGGAGATTCTCAGTCATCCAGGTCATGGTTGTCCCAAAGGTGCTTTTTCAAGAGGCAACTGGACTTTCTGGTTTTTCTTTGAAGACGTTTTGCTTCTCATCCAAGAAGCTTCTTCAGAAATGTCTTCAAAGAAAAACCAGAAAGTCCAGTTGCCTCTTGAAAAAGCACTTTGGGATTTCTGCATGATTTTTTATATGCTGCTTAGTCTGGAGTTCAAAGAGTGGTCATTCAGCTAATGATTGCTTATTCTAAACTGGTCAATATCTGACTGCATAGAATGTCAGTCAATGAAGGGTCCTTCTGTCTCAAACTGGTTATCTGCTAAGTGTACTGATTCAGGGCTTCCAATGTTTGGTTAACCAACAAACTGACTTTCCCTTTTCCTTTCTAGAAGAAGCAGAAGTTTCTAATTTTTCTTGCACCCAGTAAAGGCAGTCTGTATATTTGTCCTCATGAATTTGTATACAATTGTCTGCTTGTTTTTGTTTTGCTTTATTTTAAATAATTTAAAGTATTCTATGAGGTGGTTTGAAGGCGAGTTCAAATTCTAATACAATAGTATTGCTATAATTTTAAAATACATTTTATTGCTTTTAAAGTAATAACAGCAAAAGAAAAAAAAAGCAAAGCACAAAAAATATATTATCAAAAAATACACAAGTACTTGTAAAATAAGTGAAAAAATGCAACAGAAAATATAATGTATAGAGTATATGTTCTTAGAACAATAAAGTTGCAATTCTATATAGAATTATCAAATGCAAACATGAAAGTGTGTGTGCGTGTCTGTATGATTATTGTGTTTTTCAGCCTACTGTACTTTGTATAAATTGCTGCCCTATTTCCTTGCATTTGTCCATACAAAAGAAGCGTGATGGCTCAGTGGCTTAAAAGATGCCAGAAAAGGTCTATGGTCCTGCAGTTTGAGTGTCACCACTGCACAATGGAATGAGTTCCCATCACTTGCCCCAGCTCCTGCCAACCTAGCAGTTTGAAAGCATGTAAATGCAAGTAGTTAAATAGGTACCACTTCAGTAGGAAGGTAACAGCATTCCTTGTTTCACCATATGCTTTGTGCTGTGTAGCATGAAACGTCAGAAACGTCTTCAGACAGCTCTGACTCAATGGCTTAAAGAAACACCGATGAGCACCGCCCCTTAAAGTGGGCTATGACTAGTGGAGAAAAACCTACAGGGACTCCTTTATCTTTTTTTATCCATACAAAGTCTGCATTTATAGGCAATCTGCTCACAGATGGGGTAATCAGATCTTCAATCCATTGAGTAAGTGGAGCCATTGGAAACATTCTTTCCCATGTTGCAATATTAATCTTTTATCTATAATAAGGACACAGAAAATCCATTTATGTTGTCCAATGCCATGCACAGGTATGTAATTTAAGAGAATATTATCCTCTGAAAATTTTAGCTTTTGTCACACACTCACATTTATACAGTCCATTACTTTCTCCCAAAACTTGGTAAGTATAATAAAAAATATGTTTTAGAGAAACATTGTCCTTATTACATCTTCCACAAAATGTTGTTCTAGAATTTTTCTTTTTCTATACAAATGTAATGGAGTCCAATAAATTCTAAATTTTTGTTGTTGTATAAGTCATAGATTAAGGTCAATTTAGATATAGAAGTTAAAGCACTCTTCCATTGTCTAGGCAATGTAGAAACCTCTAATTCTTTATTCCACTCATCTTTTAACAACTGCATGTCAAAGTGATTATTGATAATAAATATCTAAAGAAACTAATACACTAGCATGTTTTAGTTTTAAAAATTTGTTGTTCTAGTATCCTAGGTCTTAGAAACTTGAATGTTGCTGATCAAAACAATGTTGTTAACAGAAGTACTGTAAATATTACCACTGAGCTATATCTGATAGATATTTGTCTATTACTACAATTTATGTTTAATTTCATCCATATCATCTATCAATTGATCAAAAGTCAATATTTCTGCTTCCATTCAATTTTTCCATATCAGCATCTTTTCCCCAATTTCTCCATAAAGTCAAGTTTGCATAGAAAAAAGGATCAAATCTTTTTATTCCATTCCATAGCTTTCTGATGTTTCCAGAAATATTAAGAGTTCTATTATACTGTCCATGCAGTCAAAGGTACTATATATGTATATTCCAAAGTTGTTGGAATATTAACACTCATTGTTGGCTTTCAGTGTTGAACATTTGACAATAGGTAGTAAGCTTGATGATAGAGTTCCAGATTTGGGGAACCGAATCCTCTTATTAATTGGTAACTGCATTTTCTGTAAACATATTCTCAGAATTGAAGAACCAAATTAACTTTTTCTAATCAAAGAATTTATTTTGTGAAATATTTTCCAGATATTTGGACAGGAATTCCTCTCAGAATCTGGAAATAATCTGGAAACTAATCTGGAAATAATATTCATTTTGTGAACATTCACCTTTCCTCAAAGAGTGAAGTTTAATGACTCTTATCTATCCATGTCTGAAGAAATCTCTTTATATATTTTATTTACATTACATATTATTGAGTTATATCTTTTGGTATATACATACCTAAACATTTAATGGATTTGTTACAAATACAGAACTGATATTCCTTAAATAGATGGGTAACTAAATTTCCACCAGTTGGCATCAACTCCAATTTGAACCAGTTAATAGAATATCCTGCTATTTTATTAAAGCTATCTATCATTTGCATCAACAGTAGAATAGTAGCATGAGGTTTAGAAATAAAGAATACTATCTGCAGATAAAACCAAAGTGATGCACGACCCTGTAAATCATCTTATGTTGTCTAATAGCATAAGCCAAGCATTCCACACAAACAACAAAAAGCAAAGGAGAAAGTGGGCATTTGAGGTTGGCTCCTCTAAAAATATAGGAAAGTAGCAGAAAATATATACTAATTTCAAAGGAACTCCAAATCCATTTAATGCAGCTAACTTATACTGCTTATATATTTTGTCAAAAGCTTTTAGCAGATTGGTCTTAATTTTTATTCACACCACAGACACAAGGCCAAGTTTTAGGGTTTTCAAGGAAATGCTCCATTTTTAATTAAATTTGCTGACCTTATTGTCTTTCCTATCCATACCAAAGGAATCATCTGAAATGGAGAGGCATAGCTGATGGAGCAACAAGGGCAGGGAATCTTGCTTTACTACTTTTACTGAGTCATACCATAAGCAGAATACATATTTTACAAGCAACCTGTGCAACTCCTTTCAGCAAGCCCTAACCAGAATGCCTTTTGAAATAGCAAATACATTAATCCTTCTCTGCAATCAAAGCAAAACTTTGGGAAGCTTGAAACAAGCCAGTTATGCTTGATCCCATGAAAAACAGTAATCTTATACATAGCTCACACTTTTGCAGCACTTTTTTTAAAATAGTGGCAAAAGCATCAGAAACACAAGACAAGTAGTAAAAAGAAGGCAGAGTACAATCGAATCTACTGGAACAGCTACTTTGAGAATTCTTCAGGCTCCGTTCTGAGTTCCTACACATTGATCTTTGTTAGATGCCATATTTTTTAAAAAAATGTTTTTATTTAAACCTCAGCAAGGAAGGTTAGTCTTCTGCTTGGCACAGAGTCTACACTGTGAAATCTCTCATGCTGGGAGATTTTCTCTGATGCAGATTATCTCCATCTTTTGGGCTATGGTCCCCACAATTTCCTAACCTTGGCTATGCAAGCTGTTGGATTTGAAGTCCTAAATATATTTTATGTCTTTCCTTTTTTGGTTCTTGGAAACTACAGCAATTCCTATAAAATTGCACAAGTGCTCTGGGGATTTTTTTCTTCTTTGGTCCTAAATATACTAACTGCATGCTTTCAGAAACAAGTTTAAGAGTTTTGTTCACAGAATTTCTCACACCCGTTTCTTGTTAATAGGGGATTCTGGAGGGAACTATTGTAGGGATTGCTGGAATTTATCAAATACAAGGATAAATCCAAATCTATTGACCTGTAGCCATGCCAAGTGTTTAATTCACACACTGCACTAAATTATAATTTGGTTTGTTTGATGTGAACACAATTCAACCACTGTGGTTTATCAATCATGATATAGAGCTTAAATGCATGATATAAACACAGACATGTTTTATTTATTCAACAAAATAGTTAAACAATCCTTATTGTAGCACATATGGGAATTGTCTCCATGACATAAAACTGTTTCTGTGAACAGAGGAAGTTGACAAAAGAAAGATTGGCTCACAGAAATGTAGTTTGCCAGGGTTTATCACTAGTGTGAATCCAGGCACACTGGATTTATGGATCATTCAAACAGGCATGGAGCCTGTGGTGATGGAGATCTTAATTACATATTTATTGAATGACAAATCCTTGCCAAGTATAGTCCTGGAAATACCTCACTTGTCATATTGATTTTTCCCTCTAGAAGACCCTTTATCCACTAGAACAGTGATGGCTAACCTTTTCCGGACTTAGTGCCTAAACACCCAAAATGCAGTGCGCGTGCGACCCTGGTGCATGCGCCCCACCCCGCGCATACAGCCCTCCATGCGCCCCACCTCCACGCACATGCATGCATGGTCTCCCTGCATGAGCCCCTCCCCCTGCGCATCAGACCCGAAGACCAGCTGGCTGGCAGGAGGCATGCACGCATGCACGGCGGAGCAGAACTGGGGTGAAGGCTTATGTGCCATCAGAGAGGGCGCTGTGGGCCACCTCTGGCATGCATGCCATAGGTTCGCCATCATGGCACTAGAAGATACAAGAGATACAAGAAGTTAGCTGCCTTGGTGAGGTATTAATATAGGAAGCTTAGCTAACAACACGAAAGCAGCATATACTTAGGGGAAAGTGAACATATAATTTGGGAAATATTGATTTTATCAGTTGAGAAAAAACAGAAATTATCTTATTAGGCAAACAAGATGGCAAATTTCTTGCTTGTAAATTATATGGGCACAAGAACTTTTAATTACAATTGAACAGGAGTCAGTTTGTGATATGCTTCATGAACAGTACATGATTTAGAATAGAATAGAATTTTTTATTGGCCAAGTGTGATTGGACACACAAGGAATTTGTCTTGGTGCATACGCTCTCAGTGTACATAAAAGATACATTCATCAAGAATCATAAGGTACAACACTTAATGATAGTCATAAGGTACAAATAAGCAATCAGGAAACAGTTATCAATATAAATTGTAAGGATGCAAGCAACAAAAATTACAGTCATAAGTGGAAGGAGATGAGTAGTGGGAACAATGAGATTAATAGTAGTGCAGACTTAGTAAATAGTTAGAGCGTTGAGGGAATTATTTGTTTAGGAGAGTGATGGCATTCAGGGAAAAACTGTTCTTGTGTCTAGTTGTTCTGGTGTGCAATGCTCTATAGCGTCGTTTTGAGGGTAGGAGTTGAAACAGTTTATGTCCAGGATGTGAGGGGTCTGTAAATATTTTCACAGCCCTCTTTTTGACTCGTGCAGTATACAGGTCCTCAATGGAAGGCAGGTTGGTAACAATTGTTTTTTCTGCAGTTCTAATTATCCTCTGAAGTCTGTGTCTGTCAGAGCCAAACCAGTTATAGAGGTGCAGATGAGATTCAATAATTCCTGCATCAATATGATCTCCAAAACCATGGGAAATAATTATTTCACTCTGCATAATATTGGCCAGAATGAAATATTTAAAAACAAATTAAAAACAAATATTGTATGTATTTAAACAAACATTTTCCGTTTCTTGAAGAATCAACAAAATACCTGAAGAATTGTCACAATGAAGAAAGCCTTCACCTATTCTCTATTATATTAGGATGCATGTCATGGAATAATGACCTTAAGATTTTTATCCAGGTTCAGGTAGTAGTCTGAAAGACATAGTTACTTTACTTAGCTAGAGATATCCTCTGGCTGCACAAGGTCCATAGTTCCTCTTTGAAATAAAGAATGAATATCCTGATACATAGGGCAAATTGCAGTAAAGTACTATATTCAGCAAAGCTAAATAGTAACAATCTGCCTCCTTGTGGTACAACAGTGGAAATATCCACTGCTGGTAATGGAGAAAAGCTTCAATTATTTACTGAACAGTTAGACCATATTCGTGTAGCACAATGAATATTAGCACCCCACCAAACATTTTTGGTGTTTGATCTTACATTTCATGGGAATAAAGTAGCATTTGGATCTTGATCATTTCCAATGCAAACTTAATCAGTTTTAACTTTGGACTGTGGTTGAGTGACAAAATTTATCAATGCAATTTGAAAAGTAATACAGGTACTGAAAAAAGTGACTTATGAACATTTTTCACACTTATGAACTTGCAGCATCCCCATGGTCATGTGATTGCAATTTGGATGCTTGACATGTGACTCATATTTATGACAGCTGCAGTGTCCTGGGGTCATGTGATTTTCTTTTGCAACTTTCTGACAAAGTCAATGGGGAAACCAGATTCGCTTAACAGCTGTGTTACTAATTTAACAACTACAGTGATTTACTTAACAAACTTGACAAGAAAAGTCGTAAAATGGGGCAAAACTCACTTAACAAATTTCTCATTGGGCTCAATTATGGTCGTAAATTGAGGACTGCCTGTAGTCCCCAATTTTATTAAAACCTGCAGATATAAAAAGAAGACAAGACTCAAACAAAAGTCACAAATTTAAAAACAAAGAGGTTTATTTTAAAAACTGCCTTCCATTTGAGTACGGTTGTTATGCATTTCAGATTTCACAAGTCATGGGACAGTATTTAATAGTTAAGAACATCAAATAACTATGTTTCTCTACCTTCTCCAGAAGTTCTCCTAGCATCTCATTACAAAACCATGATGTGCCACATCAATATGCCTATAATTTTTATTCCAGAATGAAATTTGGGCTTGAATATAGTGAATAAAATATAACATTTATAAAAACATACATGGTTAGAAATCAATGGTGGACAACCCCAACAGCTAACAACACATTTTACACCAAACTTGCCTGTTTCTATGCCTTTCCCAAAAATGTGGAAGCTCATACTGAAGGCAGGAGTTTGCAAGATTTCAGTCTTTTTATACTCAAGGAATCCTGGAATGTCCGCTAACTTCAGAATAGCCAATTCCCTTTTCCATTCATATGCACAGCTGTTTGGATCTGTTATACAATCTAAATTAAAGCAATTAGATTCAAAGTGTCTCCCTCCTCTCTCCATGCATTCCTAAATGCTGAACCAAAATAGGAGAAGTCATAATATAAACATATCCAAAGACTTCTTGCCAAGTAGCAAACAAGGGAATCTGCAGAACAGTGTCTAGGAAAAGTTTCCCCTAACCAGATGCCCTGTAATTCCCAGAATTCTTAGCCAGCATATCCTATGGGAAGAGCAATCCCAATGTGTTTTGAGAAAGCCCAGTTAGGAAGGCTTCTCTAATGAGTATTGTAAGACAACTTAAAGGCAAACGGCACTTTAAGATTCATAGAATTTACAATAATACCATTTTTGTTATACTACTTATCAAAGACGGGGGTAGGGGAGTAGAGTGAAATATTAAGTATCTGCTAAAAAAACTATGGAAGTTCTAAATACAGCTGCTTTCTGAAGTGGCCTCGCTTTAGGGAAAGATGTGGACTTTGAAAAGGAAACTTGGAAGGCTGGGTCAGGTCCAACAAGATATGCTATGCAGAACATTTTTCCCAACTATTGTCTCCGGCCCTTTTTTTAAAAAAGCACATCCTAAAGCTAAGATAAAAATTATTTTGCATACACCTTGCTATTGTTACAAGTGAGGTTTTGTCTGCAATGCATGCTAGAGAACCATGGAAAGAGTTGCTGTTCAAGAAAACTATCGGATTTTATTATGCACAGTTGAATGTATAAGAAATTCTGTATCAGGAAATTGGATAAAGATTTTTTTTTTTTTGCTTCACACTAGAAGATTCCCCCAACTGGAATATGCCAAATTGAAGCATTCAGCCTCACAACTAAACTGATGTATATGCTATGTGAACTGAGTATATTAAATTATAAATTTGACCAAAATCTGGCAGGCAAATCCAGAAAGGCCTGTAAGATTTATTCCACAGTAAAAAATACACAAAGAAAAATATGCATCTGCAACATTTTCAAGGTTGTATAAAGTATTGCCAACAAAAATTAAATGAAACCAATTCTTTTTGTACTATTGTCCAAATCACTATAAAACTTCAGTTTCTTGCAGAATTTGACTGGCTGCAATAAGCAGCTGGAAGGCATCTCCCATTCATTTAACTTGAAATTGTTATAGGACCATTCTTTGCTGGAGTATTATTTAGCTCCGTTATATCTCCCCACAAAAAGAGCCATTCCAGAGGAAAGGACCCAGGAAGTACAAACTATGCAGTGATAATATCGTTTTTCCCAGAACGGTGGTTATTCTGCACTGGTATTGTGTGATGTAGAACTTGATGGTCCCATCCAACTGTTGTCAATGAGTTTTTATTCAAGGGAGACCACGATAAGCCTGTTACAAAATCTCGATGAGATCGATTCCTAAAACTGGGAAAGATAGGAAACATTTCTGCTGTTAGTTTAGAAATCCACAGGTGAGTTCATAAATAAATAATTATTAATACCAGACTACCTGAAAATTACAAGGAGAAAGATGTGAATTGCTAAAATGAGGAAAAACTAATGTTTGAAAGCATTCCACATGAGGTTATCTGTAAACATTGACTATGCTCCTTCAGAAATAAGGCAATGAACAAAAACTGCTTTACTCTGTTCACAAAGGGCCATTTTCCATGTAGCAAAAGGTAGGACATTATTATTTGACTCATATGCAGAAGAGACCAACCAATGAAAGGGCTTCTGGAAGGAAACAAGGCTTCTCCTCACTAAAGTCCCACCCATTTCCCCCAAAATATGCAGCCATTAGAGTGACATAAATCCAGCTTCAGTCTGCATTTAATTTCCCAATTTTAGATAAACCCTTATTAGTGAAAACTAAAGGAATACGCTCTATTTACAGTCCACACATTATCTATTGGGATCTTCAGATGGCGGAGATAATGTTGGTGTTCCACCATTTGAAGATCCTGGTGGATAGTGGGTGGACTATAAATATTTTAAATAATATAATGGTTCCAGAGAAGGGAATCCTTAACCATTTCTGAAGCATCAATGTAAGCAACAGTTTCTAATTTTCTCTTGTCTAGAATAGAGGTGATAGCTGTTCTGAACAGAGTCTACAGACGTACTACCTCCCTGCAATGCAGCGTCCAATTTCCAACTGAAGAAAATACACACTGTATGGAATTCTTCATTTTACTGTATTATCCTACATGCAAGCTGCTTTCATTGTGCAGGGATGACTTTGGATAAATAAACTCTGGATAAACTCTGTTCTACTCTTGCACGGATTCATTAACCTGGTAGACCAATTATGAGGCTCAGGTGATTTGCCTTTGGCCACAAGATCCAACCAGGATAAAAACAAGCATGCATTGTTCTGATCATCACTTTAACCGGAGGTGGCAATTTGAATATGAACTGCAGTACACAATTATTTTTATATAAATATATGCAACTTTTAACCAAGATGGCAATCATATCACTGAGAGTCTAAATGACTATATGGCACAGAAACTGAGAGAACTGCAAGTGGATTGAACTCTTTTGTAACTCACACTTCTGAAAAACTGGAGTCAAGAACAACGACAGAACAATCTTCACTGATAGAAGCCAGTTGAGGTGAACTAGAAGAAAAAGCTCCGATTAACACATACAATATTTTTTTCTGTTTTTTGTTTAAATGTGACAAACAAATATGAGAGCTTATTAATGACATATAAATAAACATGTCATAGCAAAGAAAACCTTATAATCTGTATGTTGAAACTGGGGAAGAAACAGAAATAATTATCAGATCAACGCATGTGAGCAGACACAGAGATATATTTATGACTGATACAGGAAAGACTAAGGGATAAAGCAAACAATGTCATCCAACAGGAGAGGTATAAAAGAGACTGCCTGAAGTGGGAAGAAAAATTACACTATATATTTAGTGAGTTCCAGAGAGAATGAATGGATTAGCTTTACATACAAGAACCTTTTTTTGTAACAACACAACACAAGACGAGCAAAGATAAAGTAGCTTTTGTAGTTTAAAACTGAAATTAAAAGATTAACAATATCTTAGTAAAAGCCAAATCTGGTTAGGTAAAATCACTGTTGTATTTTAATTTTAGCCAAGCGTACCAATTAAGTCCTTTTTCATTACAAAAGAGCATCAACTGAAAATAAAGATACCAAATCAAATTTGTAGTAAAAGAAAATATTGCACAGAATCTAGAAGAATTAGTAATTTTTTAGCCTTCTTTGTGTAAAAGGCAAATCTAAAGCTGAACGACAAATTTCTAAAGAGAACTGTAAACTTGAAAAAGACTTTCCATAGAGACTTCTCCTTCTGTTGACTACTGAAGCAGACTAATCTTCCAGGTCCCAAGTGACAACCTATAACCAGAGCCATATACTTCTGAATTAGGGAACATAGATCTTTGTAAATTCAAATGGCCATGGGTAAATTCTTCTGGATTTAGCAATTTTACAAAACATCAGGAAAGGGAAGCAGCTTTTTTATCACCTTTGACAGATAAACCATTTTTACATCTACTTGGAAGGGAAAAAGCTGTAATGCTTTTATAGTGTTTGTAAATGCAAGGCAAGATTAGTAGGCCTTTTTAGTTTTCATGGTGCTGTTTGTACAGTTTTTAGAAAGCTTTTCTTTGTCTGGTGAGTGTACATGTAATTATTATGAGACTGAATCAGTCCACTGCAGGATGAAAGCCTGCTCATGAAGATTATAGATTATAGATTATCTATCAATTTGATCCAATATAGATTGGTATACATTTTTTTATTTATTTAATTGATTTGTAAAATTTCTTGGATATCCATCTTACCACAGAATAATTCTGGGTGGTTTACAATCTTAAAAGGATAAAAACTATATAGGGACATATATTCACTCAGCCACCTTCTATGACTAGAACCTGAGTCTCCTCACTCCCAGTCCAGCCCCTTAGCCATTACTTCACGCTGGCTCTCATATGAATATGAGATAATGTACACTTATACACATGAATGAGTTGACATCCATGAGTGAACAGCACATACATTTGTAAATAAAAGTAACAGACAAACTACATACAGTTCCATATATATTTTTTTGACACCGCAGTCCTACCTGTGTGCAGAAAAAGCAAATCCTGTGATACTACGGGAATGCACAGTTGAACTGATGATGGTATCTGGATTCTTTGTGTCTATAAGTGCAATCATCCCACTTTCGTCACCTTTGAAATAACAATGGAGAACAAACAGCTGTAGTTAAATGGTTATTTAATATGTAAAAATATGTAATATGTAAAAAGGATTTTTTAAAAACTATTCCTTACCCAAAACAAAAGTGTCATTTTGATGTGGATGCCATGCCAGAGAGGTAGAAAGATTACAAGAGGCATTGCAAGCTGAATATATGTAATGACAGAAAAAAATATAATTAGGTTCGCAAGTCATTCTGTTTCATGGAAGACAACTGATTGCTAGCTAATATTCAAAATAAAACACACACAAATAGATATTTCTTCCTTTAAACATATTTCTATATTTAAAAAAAGCAGTTTAAGACTTTACTCATCTATCTAAAAGTACCTGATTTTTACCTAAAACAAAAATAGGTTGAGAGAAGTTTTAGTCATTTATTTATTTCTTGCATTAATATTCTGCTTTTTCTTTGGGAATCTAAGGGCAGAATTAGAATTAGGAATTCCTCTAATTTTATTTCCAAAGTCACCATGGAAGGTTGGTTAGCTTGTGAATGCATCATTGACCATAAGTGACCTTCCAAATTTAAGAGGAAATGTGAAACAGTCCTATATTTTACGCTACACTATTTCAACTTTGTATCTTTTGATTTTCCTTTTAGAAGGCCAAAATCTAAGAAAAAAGACAGGGATACAAAGGGGTGAGGGGAACACTTAAAGCTGCTGTCCAGAGCACTTAAGCACTTGAGCACTTAATTAGATTACTTGTTACACTACTTCTGGATCCTGCATGCATTTCTACAATAAGGACAATTTAACATAAAGATTTTTACAATTCATAATTGGATTTCCTTCTTGAATTACATGATTCAAGTGACACCATCTGCTGCCAATAACTATGCTAAGCACTAGGGTGTGAGCTGGCTTTTAGGCATACTGGTAAACCATTAGTTTTGGGCAGATTAATATACTCCATCTGGCTCCATCATGCAGTGAGCCTCTCTTACCCAATCTCACCTCAAACCCATTCTTCTCATTTTACTGACTTGGAATAATGTTATATTTCTGCATTCCACAACTAACAATTAAAGCCAAGTGTGAATGTCCCAGGCTTTGACTCAAAGTGAGAGTGCAAACCACAACTTAAGTGATCATTAATATCCACTCTGTATATCTATAAAACTGCTCTAATGACTGGATTGTAAACCAGAGAATAGACTCCATACATGAAAGAATTAAACAAACTCTTAAAGCATTCCTACCATAACTTTATTTTGTGATTATAATTTTTGCATAGGACAGTGATTCAATCAATGTTAAGAATGTATGGTTAGAAAAATTTGTTTCATGGGGAACAACCACATTTCTCTCTAACCTTTATCATAAAGATCTCCAACAGTTTCCTGCTGGAAACTACAGTTCACTGACATTTGAAAGTTACAGGGTACAGCCACTTAATCCCTTGGGCTGTTTCCCTGAGATTTATCATCTTCTCCCTGTGAGACTGGAAGGAGAGATCCGACCCTAGACAGGCAAAATCTTACATGTGTCCATTCCCTGCCAAAAAGACAGACTAGGCATAAAGAATTTTGGAATCAAAAATTTAAACCTTTTCCAACTTTTTGCCAATACCAACTGTCCAAAAAAATAAATAAATACTGATGCTTCTTTGGGTCTTCTTCTGATGGCAATGGATGAAATACTCTATCCACCTCCACCAAGAAGTGGGTGCCCAGGAGTATATGAGAGTATGAGTATCTTAAAAAATTGTATTCTTAGGACCTTCCAACTGGCTACGGAGTAACCTACTCAAAGGTTATGTCGGAGGGGAAAGAGCCAACATTTTTTCTACTTAAAGGAGAAACATTTCCAAAACTATCAAATATGAGACATACCAATTCGAGATGCTGGCTTTGGAGATCTGGTATCCCAGAGTAAAACCCTGCTATCCTAAAGAAGTACAAAATTAATAAAACAGAATTAAAAGTGAAATTGTCAACCAAAAATATACTCTGGCATTCCAGTTTTTCCACATTTCCCCATTTCTTTGCAATACTGTACTATTATCCTTGTCATCCCTTTGACACTATCTAAGATTCCATTCACTTTTGCCTTGAGAAAAAAGAGGTTAAGTCTACAGTAATTCAGAAATTAAAAAGTGGAGTTTACCTCAGCGCAGGACAGGAACACTGTATCCTTTCCAGGGCAGGAGGCCACACAGGCCACTTGACCAGAATGGGCTAAAAAATAGGGCAAAATGTATATATATTAATCTGCATAGAACAAAAAACATAGTGCTTCTTTATGCTTTTTCCTGATTAGTACAATTTTTCTTCTTAAATAACTTTCAAAGAATCTCAAAAAGTAAACAAGGAAGTAACTGCTGGACAACAGCCCTTGTGCAAAGGGAGTAATAAAACACGAAGTTCGGGGGTTTTTACTTCATAATGAAATATGATTTATTATTTCATGGTTAAGTGTTTGGTGGCTTTGTTGATTTGGACAACTTAGAGCAAGTACAATTGTAGAAATATAATCAGTGGAATTCTATTCAGATTCTTAATATCTTGCAGTAAAAAGCAATGTTTTGTAGCCAAAAGCCTAAATTGAGTGCATTTCAATAATCCAAGAATTCTCCATGATATTTTTCTTTAATTGAAACTGCCTGAAATCTATCTTGTGGGAATGAGAATGCTTTTAGTCAATTTGAGCCACCACAATTAACTTAAAAATTAAGAGGTTAAAAAAAAATTCCTGGATCATCTCTTAAATAACAATTATGGCTCAGAATTTTGACTCATCTCATGTATCAGCTAAGTAGAGTAATAACCCTTGTTAAAAACTGAAATTGGGATGCCTCTTTCTGATTTTAATATCTTGTTTTTTTCACATCGTTGTTTTGCAGTAAATTTTAAATACCTGAGCAATCCAAAAATTTCATATAACTTTCTGTCTCCAATCCATGCTGGACAGAACTTGAAACATGACTCACACAAAGGAAAAGCAGCAGCTACATGACTACTCCTTTCAAACTCCCTGTCCAGTCCTGTCCACCATGGATGGCATAGTCTTCACCCCACTGAGATGAATTCAGCTTAAAAAAATTGGATTGATAAGACCACTTGAAAAATAGTAACTCTTTCACAACAAAAATTGATTTTTGAAAACTACTGGGTGTCTGAAAGAACACCAATCTTCTGCCAAGTTGTCAATCATACCTAGTACAAATTATGACAAAACTCAGATGCACTGACTGTAAATAGAGAAAAGAAAGTAACTGGACACCAGTGTGTTGAAGGAAGACATTTTGATTCAACTCTACTCATTCATGAAGTTTATTAGATCAGATTGATATAAATGTCCTCAAACCTCCCATATGAGGATACACTGGGACAAAGGTGAATCGCTTGCAATTTACTTGGGAAGAAAGGCAAGATGAAATAATTGAGTAAGGAAATATTTGGCCAGTTTGGCTCTTACCTCTATATGTGCTGAGTACTGTTTGTTGAGGGATATCCCAGATCTTCACACTAGACATAAAAGTTAGATCAGGTTTATGAAAAAACATAGATGTTTTTAAATAAAGCAGAAAAACAACAGCACAAGAGTCACCTGAAATCTTTGCTGCCACTGATAGCCTGTGTATTGTTGGAAACAACACTCACAGTTGTCACAATGTCATCATGCTCATATTTACAGAATTTGTTCACTATCAGAGTCTCATTCTCATCCAGCTCCCAAAATTCCAGAGCACCTGAGGAACAGGAGAGAAGAAAGTCAAATTCATACACTGCAGCTTGCCTTATTTGATTGTCTTAGTCCTGAAACTTCAGTTTGTATACAACTTGGCAGCTGGGCTTGTCCTGGTAAGAATGTAGAGATCATATTACACCTGGGCTTAAAGTACTCCAGTTGTCATTTTGTTTCTGGGCAAAATACAAAGTACCTCTTATGACCTTTAAGGCCCTACAAGGCTTAGATCCAAGCTATCTGACAGAACATCTCATTTCACATGAACATCTATGCTTTTACAGATTGTCTACCTTAGTGTGGCTAAAGTTGCTAAGAGTTTGTCTGATTTGGAACCAAGCCTTCTCTTTTACAGTCTCAGTTCTTTGGACCACATTTCCTATAGAGATGGGCCTAATATTTCCATTAGCTTTTTAAAAACCCATTAAAGCACCTATGTTTCTGTCAGGCTTTAAAAGTTGATTTTCAACAGTTATTTTTAAATATGTTTAAGTTTCCTATGTTCAATGTTTCTAATGTTTGCATTTAGAAAAAATATTCAACTGTTAAGTCCCTGAATGATTTCAGTACTGAGCAGTGTGTTGAAATTAAATAGTCACCAAGTTGCCAATATGTGGTATTTTGATTTGTTCCATCAAATGTTCATTGAAATATGGGATACCCTAAACTACAATAAAACGCAGCTTCATTACAAAAAAAAAGAAAGAAATTACTCAAGTACTCACAAGAACCTTCAATAATTTTTACATAGATTGTTTGGCTAAATCACACACATGGAACAGATAAGGCAGAGAGAAACAGACACTTTTAATTTGTCACTGGCTTTAAGAAAGAAAGAAAGCAAAATCTCAAGCTTGCATTTTGTATCCAAACTCCATTGTCCAGTTCCTCCAGAATATTCTGATTTTCTGTAGGATCATTCTGCTATTTTTCTGGGAGTGATTCTTCCAATATGGGAAGTAGTTTTCAACATTCTTGAATCAACACGTTCTAGGAAATTTCATTCTATCTTTGACACTATCTTTAAACTCTAACAAGTTTTAGGAGACAAATATCTTTTGACACTCACCTGAATCTGATGCTACCAAGATTCCTTTGTCTGCTACCCACTTCAGATCTGCTATACCTGCTTCAGTTTGAACACCCGCAGAGCAAAAGCCTTCATTAGGAGCTCTTGATGTATCTTTGAATACCCAAATGGAACCAACCCAGCAACGACCACTCAAACTGGATGCTCCCAGGAGCAGAGAACCATCTGAAAAGCAAAATTAAAACAGATTAGTGTAATAAATATTTTAATGTATAATGAATAAAACATTGAGTTTTGCATTTTACCCAGGAACTTTATTCTTCAGCAGAGAACTGTTCCAATAAAGAAAATGTAGTTTTGTCTTGAATGATGTTCTTAAATTCTTAGTCCAGTTTTGGATTCTACTCATAGTGAGGGCGGGAAGTATAGGCTTCTTTTGCATATACTCTCAATTTACCAAAAAGAATATAATGAGTTTATGTATAAAGTATAAAAATATGAAGAACTAATGAAATGCTGAGGACAAAAGTATATTTCATGATGGCACTAAAAATATCTGAGTAATAGAAGGGAGTTCATTCAAAGATAATCTAGCTATTTGCCAAGGTGAAAATTTAGACTCAAGAGTTCACCAAATTGTTACTTAAGATTTTTTTATAACTAAAAAAAGACCAGAGGATTGTTCAACTCTGGTAAGGTTTGAATCTGATTTTTTAATGACAAAAGTTTATCCATCTTTTAATAATGATGAAAATGCCTCCTGAGCATCAGAGGTGCCCTTCAATCAACATTCGTGTGTGTGTGTGTGTGTGTGTGTGTGTGTATGTTTTCACGTATGGAGAAAAGCTGTCTTTCCTGAATGGTGTCCAGATGTATGAATAATGCACTACCCATGAATACTTTAATACACAATTATAGAAGCAGACTAAAGCACAGTGGTTGCTACTAGCAGTTTACATTCCTAAAAGTGATTGAGAACCTCAAAGAACTTTCATATAGCCAGGCGATATCTATATTTACTGTATTCAAAATTGAGACAGACAGTTTAAAATATTATTTGGAATCACACTTTGAAATCGACTGATCTAGACTAGAGTACCCTTGCCTACATCACACTAGGATTTCTGCAACTGCCACTGTCAATCCTGATCACTTGCTATGAAGGATGGGGATTATAGGCAAGGATAACTGGAGTTTGAAATGTGGGAAGACTGATCCTACAGTAAGTTTTATACTCTGTAGTGATTCAGAACAACACAGGATAATTGTTGGGTTTCTGTCATTCTTTTAAAAAAAGCGAATAAAAATTATAAAGACATCAAAGAAGACATATTTAAAATTGCGTATAATGAATACTACATAAATATACTGCTCAAAAAAATAAAGGAAACACAAGCAGAAGACATCCGAGATCTGAATGAATGAACTAGCCTTATTAAATACTTTGTTCTTTACATACAGTAGTTTATACACTGTTCAAACAACTAAAGGGAACACAAAACTACTGTATGTAACGAACAAAGTATTTAATAAGGTTAGTTCATTCATTCAGATCTCGGATGTCTTCTGCTTGTGTTCCCTTTATTTTTTTTTGAGCAGTGTATATTAACAGAATGAAACTCGACTCACATGGCAAAAATAGCCAATTTAAAAGAGGCTCCAGCTGACAGCGGAGTTCACGAGAAAGATAACGTGGGCACCCACAAGGCATACGACATCTCGGATCCCCAGCCACCCTCACCCTGTAAAAGCTTGCAAGATCTCTGAAATGCAGGCTACAGACGTTCGGGACTACACCTGTCATTATTCCCAGGCAGCGACGGTGATGACTTGTAACAAAGGGCGCCTGGGGACACCACCTTGGTAAACACTCGTGGGGTACCTGTTCGGTAATGGGCCCCGTCCAGGTGGCGCTCCATACAGGCGGGAGCGTTGGGCGGAATATTCCACTCGGGTCCGGCTTCTGCCTCCACTGCATGGCCGGGACTCGCCTTGGTTTCTTCCATAGGTGCAGCAGTGAAATGCGGTCCAACAAACTCTAAGCACGCCCACGTGTTCCAAAAAAGACACTCTTACCGCCCCGATAGTACTCTCCCTTATCTCGCGAGAACTTCCAAAATACCCTCAAGGCGGAATTCAAGCCTATGCATGCTTTTCTCGCGATATTTTCCTAGACCGTATAATCGAATTCTATAGAGCTGGAACCAAGTGTTTCTCAATCTTAGCAATTTAAACAGTATGGACTTCAACTCCCAGAATTCCGCAGCCAGAATCTCGCGAGAACTTCCAAGATTCCCTTCCAGGAGGGAGTCAAGACAGTAAAAGATTTTTCTTGCGGTATTCTCCGAGACTACAGAATCAAACTCTAAAACAGAATAGGAACCAATAGAGAATAGGAACCAATGTTTTCTCAACCTCAATAACTTAAGTTGTGTGGACCAACGCCCAGAATTTCCCTGTTAGAGAAAATTCCCCATGTGGTTAGGGAATTCTGAGATTTAAAGTTCACTCCACTTAAATTTCAGAGGTTCAGAAACACTGAAATAGAAGACGCTTTAACTGAAGAATTAAGGCATGGATTATGGAGCTTAACCTTTTGTCAGTGCAAGAATTCAAATTAAAGTACAGATGGCTACCATGCCTGCATTTGAACATATCATGGAGAATGCTATTAAAAGAAATCGTATTTTAATATTCCTATAGACTTGACTTTCTTATATGAATGCATGACTTTGTAGCCATACTTTGGAATGATGGAGGACAGGCCTATAGGTAGCTATTATTTATGAATCATGATGTCAAAATGATAAAAAATGTCATATCATAGTGCAAACCTTCCCTTTTTGTAGTTGTATTACACTACTGTCCTATACTAATATGCAATCAACTACTATTCCAAGATACTTTTCATAAGTACTTTTGCCAGGCCAGGTGTCCCCCACTCCAAAGTCTAAGTGAAAATGTTAAACTGCATTCTATCTGTAGTATTCATCTCCAATCTATCAATGTAATTTGAACTGACATTTATCAGAAACAATTGTAAGACTTGGGTAGATGGATTAGATGGCTGTAATCATGTTGAATTCTGGAAGTCGGCTATCCTACTATATTGTTCTAAATAGCTGTACCTTGAGACTTCCTGGTACATTACTTTACCAAGTGTTCATAAATAAAATTTCACCTTCAGCTGTGCAAGGCAGGGGAATGTTTTTATTTTACATAATTGCTCATTTATTTTGGTTTTGATTATGACAACTTTGGAGGTTCCGTTTAGAGGTAACAAGAGACGTGTTTTATAGATAAATAAAAGTGGCATCGGCTTGCCTTGAATTGATCTCAACCACAACCTGGAAAAAATGAGCGCAATGATATATTTAAGTTGTGGGGTAGTATGAACCACTGTCACTTTTCCAATTGTTTAAAATGGTCTTATCAGATTTCCCCACAAACTCAAGATCGAAAAAGAGCATAATATTTCAGCATCAACGAAACATAGTCCTGCATTCACCAATAGATGTCCCTGTGACTGTTGAACTTTTTTTAAAAAGTTTTTAAAACTCGGCGGGTATTCCCCCGCCCCCAAGCTTTTTTAACAACTCTCAGTTGTCTTGGCGTAGCTCTATGGCAAGGGTTCCCAAACTTGGCAGCTTTAAGACTTGTGGACTTCAACTCCCAGAATTCTCCAGCCAGCTAGTTGAAGTCCACAAGTCTTAAAGCTGCCAAGTTTGAAGACTTCTGCTCTATGGTGATAGCTCCTGAGTCGGAGGCGGAGCTAAGAGGAGACAGCGCGAGTCCGATTTTCTCGCGAGAATCTGGGGACGGGGGCGGCCATTTTAGTTTTGTGACCGGGGGTCACAGGGACGTCGGGCTGTGTGGGGCAAGGCACGATGTTCTCTCGGTTGGCGTTGCGTGCCCTGGGTGAGTGAGTGAATGAGAGAGGGGTGGCCCAAGGGGCGCGAAGCCGTGGGGGGGGGGGGGGGGTGGCACTGTGACCGGGACCTGTTGTTCTTTTTTTTTCTCTCTCTCTCTGCAGCCCCGGCCGGCCTGAAGAGTTCGGTGGCTCTACCCGCCCTGTCATCGGGGTGAGTATAGCTGGGTCAGTGGGAAAGGGAATGAGACGCGCTGATGGCCTTGAAAGGCAGCAGGGCATCTGGGTCCTCTTCTCTGTTAAGGATACCGGTTTTTGTTCCTGCCGCCTCAAGTGAACCACACGCCATTTGTCCCAAAAGGTGCTATTTTTCAGGAGGCAACTGGACTTTCTTGTTTTCTCTTTGAGGACGTTTCGCTTCTCCTTCAAGAAGCTCCTTCAGCTCTGACAGGATAGTGGGGAATGGAAGGATTCCTATCTTGTCAGAGCTGAAGGAGAAGCGAAACCCCTTCAAAGAGAAAACAAGAAAGTCCAGTTTTTAGAATAGAATAAGAATAGAATAGAATAGGATTATTGAATTGAATTGAATTGAATTGAATTCTTTTATTGGAATTGGACACACAAGGAATTTGTCTTTGTGTAAGTGCTCTCAGTGTACATAAAGAGAATAAAATGCATTCATCACGAATAAAAAGATACAACACTTAGTGATAGTCAAGGTTACTAATAAGCTATGAAATCGTACCAGGGAACAAAAACAATATAAATTGGAAGATACAAGCAACATGGTTATAGTAATAAGTGGGAAGAGAGAGATACTTGTAAGGAAGAGGAGAAGAACAGTAATACCGTCTTACTAAATTATTTGACACTGTTGTGGGAATTAATTGTTAAGCAGAGTGATGGCATTCGGGAACCTTTGGGACAACCATGACCTGGATGACTGAGAATCTCTACAGACACATGCCATCTGAATGTCATCATCATTTTGGATAGCAAAGGCCTTTTGATTGAAAGCCTTAGATGAAATTAAGGAAATTGCAATGAACCCTGCGGTTGGTCAGCGACTCTTGACCACCTTTACTGTGGTTTATACATTGATGCAGATTTATTATCACAAAACATGGGAAACAAAACCTGCTTTAGTGAATTGTTCTGGCTACAAGTAATCCAGCTTTGCAAAACGTACTGTGAAGGAGGATCCATTATTCAAATCTGGTCTCCATTAGCTATAGGAAAGATGGTCTTTGTAATAAATGTTCTTGTGCAGACATAACTTGGCATAGTGATAATGAATGGATTAAAACATTAGCATTTCTCCTTAAGATTGTATGTGTATTCATAGTATTCAATATGCAAGGTTTTTTATTTGCATTTTATGTCCCTTGAAGATTATTGCCTGATTATTTTTAGAAAAATTATGGAACATGAGGCCAATATTGTAAAAGTTCAGTTGGGAGGTGAAGAATTTGGGAAGTTACGTTTATATTTGCATAACCTGGCAAGGTGCAATGTACTTACAAATGTTTGAGAAATATGCCGGCTTCTCCTATGGCAAAGCATGGCTAACAAATAATGAATGATATACTATGCTAGGCAAATTAGAAAATCAGATTTTCTTTTAATAACAGACATACTTGGGAATATTGTCAAGAAAACAATATGAACTGAAATAATTGGATTTATTTAACAAAGTTATTAAATAACTTTTTAAATTACAGCATATTTCATGCATCAAGATCACTTCACACAAGTCAACAGCGCTTGGCTCCAGTGCCAGCTCTTCCAGAGAAAGGTGGAAAAGTTCGCCATGGAATAATCCCTGAAGAATTTTTCCAATTTTTGTATCCTAAAACAGGAGTCACAGGTATACCTTTGAAACTATTCTAGTGTTTATTTAGTACACTTAATTTCTTATTTTTCAAAGTATTTTATATATGCATTAGGGAATATTGAAGTGCTGTCGTTAACGGAAGGATATTTTATTATACTAATTACTGGCGGTGAAATGATAAATACTAGGAATTTATTTTTAAATTATGCATTTAAGCATATTTGTGGCAAATGCAGGCTTGTGCAATGAATTTTTAAATGCATGTATTTACTGTTAGCAAATAGTCAACCACAATAAAAACTGACAGTCTGGGGCGACACAATCCCACATATCAGCATTCTGGGTTTTACCCTTATTTGCAATATTCTCCAATATTTGCAGAAATGCCAAGGCCTTCTGGGCTTCTGAGTGAATGGTGTTCCACAGGGCAGGAGCAGGAATGGAGAAGAAATGCTTTCTAGGTCCCAATATATGACAATAATTAAGGGATGGGACCTGGGGCACAGCCACCCTGTCTGACTTGGTGGGATGTTTTTCCTGAGGAAGAAACAGTACTGTAATTTTTTTTAAAAAAAATGACAGATATTTTTGTAGTTAGGCCTGTGCATTTATCAACTCATTTCAAGATTAATATAGCAGAGCCCTTCTGCTATAGCGGAAAAGCCCTATTACAAGTTGACTCTATTACAATTACAGATGCCATTTGGTATAGTGATTTAGCACCAAGCTAAGAAATGGGGAGTCTGTAAAGTTTAAACCTACCTTAGGCAAAAGCACAGTAAATAACCTTAACTATTCATACACTCGCAGTCCTAGGAAGCAGACAATGGGAAACCCCTTCTGAAATCTTGCCAAGAAAACTACAGAGGCTCTCCCAGGCAGTCACCAGGAGTCAACACTGATTCATATAACCAGTAGCATTTTAGAGAAAGTGGTGAAATGATAAAGTCCATGAAATATTACTTTAATTTTTGAAAGGAATGTTAATTAAACTTGCTTAACTGCTATATCTTGATGAAATTTTGTAAGAAAAAAATGACAAATTAAGGTTTGCACTTTCAGGCTTATGTGACCTGCCTCAAGAGCAACAGCTTTTGCCTCTTGCAGTTTACATACAAGGGAAAGATAATGTGTACAATATTCTTGAGGATCATTTTAGATCCTTTCCATTATATTGAGTATTTCTGCCTTCTGTATAATATTATATTTTGCTTATTGTTAGGTCCATATATGCTTGCAACTGGACTGACACTCTACTTCCTGTCTAAAGAAATTTATGTAATAAATCATGAAACAATAAGTAGTGTTCTTATTGTGGGTTTAATAATCTATGGAATTAAGAAGTATGGTCCTCTTGTAGCAGCTTTTCTTGACAAAAAAATGGACGTAAGTATAGTTCTTCAATTGTATTATACTTTGTTGAATTGCTTATTTTGTTGCAGGTATATTCCCAGGAATATTATAACTTAATATATTCTGCATAATGTGAAGCATTTTAAAGTGATCTTTAGAATACAGAATACTTTTTGGTATTTGCAAGCACTATTATTGTAATAAATAGCTCCCAATTTAACTTTGGCCTTTGTAATTCCTATTTTAATTATTTACTACTGAGATTTCTAGTTGCTGTAGGCTGGTTGTGAATCATTTGCAGGAAAATACAATGCATTAACAGCAACAAAAAAAGACAAAAACAATAGAATAAAAATGATATCCATCAGGGGCAGACCCAAACTAACATCCTCCCAAAGCTTATCAAATATCCAGGTTTGTACAGCCCTGCAAAGCCCAGATTTTTAAGGGCAAGGAGTTTGACAAAAATATCGTGTGTGTGTTTACACAGACTAATTCCATGATTTTCATCCAGCTGCTTCCTAGACAAACATGTATAGGATTGTAACACAATCCTAATTTTTATGTTATTCAAAATCCTCTTGCAGATAGTCCTTGGATTGCAGCCCTAATTGGAGCTGGAATTTGCATCACTAAGAACAGCAGTTGTTAAGCAAAGCATCACATGGCTACACTGTCTAGTGATAGCAGTCCTTGCAATCCAGATTGCAGTCATTAGGCCACAACTGTGTGGTTGTTAGACAAGGACTTCATTCATCTCTTGTTCTACTTGAACCTCCTCTGCTTCACCTCTCCCCACTTGCCTCTTTTGACTGCCTATACTCTGCTGTCACCTTCGCTGTTCCAGTTGACTTTCATCATTCTTTTTCTCTCAGTGCTGGCCTGGTTGAAAGGGCCGAGAGATGTGTGGGGAGAGAGATAGAAGTGGCTGGTCCATTGGCAGACAAGGCTCTGTCACCTTGCCACACATGTCCTTGGAAAGCACATGTCAAGATTTTCAAGGAGATAATAAAACTACCCAATAAAATTTCTTACAGAATTTAATGTACCTAAATATTCTACGTGTCTGTGTCTGTGTGTGTGTCTGTGTTATTACTAGAACTGTTCTCCAGAATTAAGAAATGCCATTGGAGTGTTGTTATCTGAGTCAGGATTATAGGCCCAGATATTACTTATCTGTTCAAGTAGAGAAAAATAAATGCAAATAAATGTTGAAGTAGAGAAAAATAAATGCAAATGCAAAAATAAATAAATAAACTGTTATAATCAGCTGTTTAATTATAAGCAGCCAGTATTCTTGTATTCTTAAACAGTATTCTGTTTAACTAATGGGAGAGGCAATACTGTCTCTTGTAGTATTCAATATTATATGAACTGGGAAGTCTGCTGTGTTTATCTCATAAAATGAGAAAATAGGTCTTAATGATTCTAGTTTCTTCTAACAAACCACTGTTCTGTGTATTATATAAATGAAATAAACGTAACCATCTTTATGTGCTTGGTTATTCTTGCTGGTAGAAGGAACCAAATGAGAGCAGTGACCACCTGTATTCTGCTTGTTAACGGTTAAACCAGAATTCAATCTGAATGTAGCCTATGATGTTAAATTGCTAGTGTTTGTCAATCAGCAACTTCATTTTTTTTTTCAGAATAATAATTATACTTTCTTTTGCCAATAGTATTGTATTAAGGTAAAATTGGCATGTAGCAAAAGACTGAACATTTTGATTTCTTTTAGGATTAAACTGGCTTATATGTCTCTCATTTTAGGAGCAACGTGATGCTTACGAGAACTTTAAAAGTCATCTTATAAATAGATGCCAGGAGGGAATTGAGGAGGAGAAGAAAGAACAATGGAGAATTGAGGGTCGCCGCTATCTCTTTGATGCCAAGCGGGTAAAGTAGGAAATGGGATGATGCTAAAAATTGCTTGGAAACAACTCTCACAAACACTTTTCTTGTCCAAACCAGCTAGGGCTGACAGGAATTAAAATCCAAACTTCTGGATGTTATCAAGTTATCTTCCCTCACTCTAGAACACAGCCTTCTGGTAACTATTATAATAATGAATACATGGTTTCATTTTTATGATCATACTTGTGATTTATGAGAGTAGTACTTAGTTTGTTCATACCTTAGTCATGTTATAGCTGGACTATTCTGATAAACTTTACATGGGTTAAGTACTAAAAAGTACAAGAATGGTTCATCCAGGTACCCTCTGCTCTGTGAACTACACTTAATCATCTTATACTTTTCATACAAGATTGATATGTCTTGCTGTCCTATTTTCACACTTATTTTTCCATTGTCTTCCTTTCTTTGTGTAATTTTCTATGCTTGCACATTACAGAACATGATCTATCACCACTTATGTTTTTTTCATTAGTTATATCACTTTCATTATAAATAATTAAATCAACTATGCTTTTTTTATTTACATTCATTCCTTTGCATCTGTATGCATGAACATATTTATGTTTCAACCACATACTCATTCTTATATATCACATAAATATTATAATCAAAATAATAAGAAATCTCACGTTTTCTTGTGACTCTAGAACAATATTGCTATGATCCTGGAGACCAACTATAGAGAAAGGCTTCTCACTGTATCCAGGGAGGTGAAGAAGAGGCTAGACTATCAAATTGCATTACAGCAGCTCAAGAGGCGTATGGAACGAGATCATATGATCAACTGGGTAGAACAAAGTGTTTGGCAGAGTGTTTCAGCCCAACAGGTACTTAGCAAATATTCCCTTACAGATGGTTTGTGGCCATTTTACTGCTAGAAAAGCCACTAGATTTCCCTTCCTTTACTCCACAGTGAAAAAAATATATCTATCCAATTGGGTGATAGATGCATCTTCTTGATCTAAAAATTAATGTTTCATTTTATTGATTTTACCCTTTTGTATTTTGTTGAACCATTTTAATCAAAATCTATTTGTGGTCATGTGTACTGTATTGTTCAGTCTGTGGTGTTGATACATGTAATAAGTATATGCTACATATTTTTAATGTCACATATTCTTTGAAAAAGGACGAGGTGACTCAGTGGCTAAGACGGTGAGCTTGTTGATCGAAAGGTCTGCAGTTCAACAGTTTGAATCCCTAGTGTTGCGTAATGGGGTGAGCCCCGTTACTTGTCCCAGCTTCTGCCAACCTAGTAGTTTGAAAGCATGTAAAAAATGCAAGTAAAAAAATAGGGGCCACCTTTGGTGGGAAGGTAACAGCGTTCCGTGCGCCTTTGGCATTTAGTCATGCCGGCCATATGACCACAGAGATGTCTTCAGGCAGCGCTGGCTCTTCGGCTTTGAAACAGAGATGGGCACCTCCCCCTAGAGTCAGGAACAATTAGCACATATGTGCGAGGGAAACCTTTACCTTTCCTATTCTTTGAAAAGGTTTTAGAAGAGGTTTTCAGAATATATGCTGGACTTGCAGACTCTTCACCTCATCAACGTCTTCATAAAGTTTCAGATTGTTAATTGATCTCCAAATATATATGGAAATAATAAATATTGCTTTAATTAATAGTAGTACTACAATAATAACCCAATATTTACCTTTGGAAGTTAGTATGGACCACGTTGAGAAACCTTCCTGTAAGGCAACCATGTCTTTTTTCAAGCTTCCACAGACTGGAAAGAGACACTGCTGCATTTGTGATCACACAGAAGTCTAAAAAAATGTTGCTTGGCTGCTCTAAAGATATCCTACAGTTCTGAAATCCAGTGTAGCTTTGAATTAATTTCAAAACATACAGTCTCTTTGTACATCTTTTCTGAAGTATACAAGACATACAAACAAAAGCAACTCTTAGATATTACCCATTAATACTTATTGAGGAATAAGCAATATTTTTGGACCAGTGGGGACTACTGAAATTTTAAGGGAAAATTGTGAGTGTCACAAATGGCTGTCATGGGCTACAATGTTAAGCCTATGGATAAGTGCTATTTTACTTTTAAAGTTGCTGTGTGATGTGTTGTTTTTACAAATAAGAATTATATCAACTTTCCATTTTGAAAATAATGACCAGGCAGGAAAACAACTAGATGCCAGGCTCCTTTCTCAATCTTGGTACTTTTATTTTATTTTAAATATAGCAAGCTGTAAAACAAATTACAGACTTCTTTACTGGATTCTCCATAGCAGCTGGACTCTTCAAAATCATTATTACAAAGTAATGGATGACAGTCTGTTATTTGGAATGGGTTAAAGACAAACATAAATTGAGATTCTCATTCTTTAAAAGTAAAGAAAGTATGGGAAAAAGCTTTCTTTCTAATAATATGTGTGTCATGGTGACCATGGCAGCTATTTTCGGAGAGCCCCATGTCAGGGTGGCAATTAATCCCATTCTGCTTTTGGGTAATTGCACCTTGATTAGAGAATGGATCGTGACCTTTCCCTTGGAGTATACTTTACGAAAATAAAATAAAACCGAGATATATTCTAATAAACACATTTTATTATAAAGAAGTAAAAAAAAAACATCTTACTAGCTAATTAATTACATCTTGACAGCGTTGCTGCCGGACCTCTTGGCAGGCGAACAAAGAAAGTTAGAAGAAAGTGAAAGAATGTGGAAGAAAAAATGTGGACATGCGCAGTGGCTTCTGAGATAAGCTCTGCATCTATTGTAAAGCTTAGAATGGGAGCCCAGCTGACAAATACAAAAACGCAGTGACACCCCCAATAATATACCTCAAAATCTTCACCAATCTCCACCCTGTAGAGATTGGGAACTTCACTGTCATTCATTATTAGAATGGCAACTATTAATTTTTAACTTATTTGTCAAATCATTCAATTGGGGCTAAGAGCCATGTTAGCCCCAATTACTAAGTGAAACTGCTTTGTTTTGTTCTTTATTTTGCAAGTTTGGCAAAACATGGCTTATAGACTCAGCCAAGTATGAGTTATTCAACAAATCATAGTTAAGCATATATGAAAGTATGTGGAACTCCATTGGAATTTGGAGTGGGAGGTTTTTTTAAAATATTTCTGTATAAAATTAATAGATTGCAATTATTTCTCTAGAGGCCCAAAACGGATTTTACTTTAAATGAATAGTTATCAACTATAACTTCTGTTTTTCTTAGCTTTTTTAAAAAAAATTGAGATTAATTACTGTGTTTGGAGATAGTTTTCCATTGTAATTGTGATAGAAAAGCATGATTAATTATGTTTTCCTTAGCTCAAAATGGAGAAAACTGAAAATATGATATGGCATCCTTTTTCCTCATAAAATTGTCTTATCTTTTTTCATATCAGTCCATGCTGAAAAGATTACTTCATATAGCAATAGTATGCTTTAACAAAATGCTTTTATTCTAAATACAGAGAAATTGGTCTAGGGTAGTCTTCATAAATCTTATATCTCTACATTCTAAGATAGCACAATTTTTGATTGAGAGGATTGGGTAAAGAGCCAAATATTTTTCATGATATCAATTAGATTCTCTAGGAATGGGTTTCTTTATGTTACATTTTTCCTTCATGGACCTGAATTATTTAAGAACCATGTATGTTTTTATTTTTTGTATAGTTTTATATCTGATCAGTAGATGATTTTTCTTTTAATACTGATTTTTGGAAAGGTCAAATGCAGTTTAAGTAACCTCATTCTTGATTTTAAATTCTAATTTTCAGTCAAGACTAAATGTTTTAAAGTTTGTGTACATTTAATAGTATGTAATTTGTATTTGTATAGAAGCCAATTGTATAGAATCATAAAGCTGCAGTGAACCTCCAGATCTTGAATATTTTTTGTAGGTTCTTTAAACTTAAATGTTAATTTCTTTTCTATATTATAGGAGAAGGAGAACATTGCCAAATGCCTTTTGGACCTGAAAGCATTGTCAAAGTCTGCCCAAGTATCTCTCTAAGTTGAACATTGTTGAAACTTCCAAAATTGTACAATTTCTATCCTTAATTAAAACATAGTATCATGGTTTGGTTTACTCTGAAAGTTCCTTGAATGTGTTCCTCTCCTTATATTTTCACATCACAATATTCAGAAAAGAGATACCTTTGCAAATTTAACCACAAAATGATGTAAATGAAATTTATATTTGTCTTCTCTAAATATGGCTAGTACTATTTCACACACTTAACAGAAGTGTTTTGTCAGGCCTCTTCACAAACTTGGAGAAAGGTTTTCCTGTTTAAAGAAATAAACTTAGTTAATGTAGCTCTTAAAATAGTGGCACCCTGGTGGCATAGGATTGGAGTTTATCAGGTTGAGATTTTATGAAAGTAACAGCTTGATATTCAGCAGATCAGTAAATAGCATTTTTTAAAGATTTAACAATGGTCTAGTAAGGTCTGTTAACTGCTATTCTTAAAATGCAGTAAATGTCTAGTAGCAACCTTATGTGGTGGAAAGTAGTAAGGAGGTGGATTCCCAGAAGGGAGAGGTGCATTTCAAAGGAGTAAGAAGCAACTCAGCCCAGATATGTTTGAGAGAAAGAAGATGAAAATATTTCCTAATAGTTCACAGAGTATATTGTAAATGAAGACAGTAGAATGCTCAGTTTGGCAAGTTTTTGTCTATTGGTGTAAAACAATCAACTTCTTAAAAGAATCACCATGTGTCAGTCTTGGTTTGGGACTGACACCTTAGTACTTGGCAGCATATATTCAAAGTAATCTAGCAGTATTTATACCTTGTGGCTAAACAAGTATTCACATGTGTATTTAATAAAATTAAAATATAAAATACAGGATTCATTTCTGATTATATTTATTTCACCAGATAACAGTAATCCGTAATATCAAATGGAAAAGGTAATTGAAAGTAATTACAACTACCTACTAGATACCAGGCATTCCTATATATTTCTAAATACATTACTGAACATTAAATATTAATTGTGTTCATATATAAATGGAATTTCTCTTATGGTCTGATTCTAAATAAATAGCTACAATATTAAATGTGGAAGATTTCCTTAGATGTGCAATTTCCTGGACATTTTTATTCTGCTCTAAATCAAAGGCTCATACTCCAGATACGGATTTTGTTTCAGAGCAGTGGTTCCTGTCAATTGTGAAGTTTTGTGTGGGATTCCTTTGCTGCAAGCAAGAACATATTAGACTGATCCAACCAAATACCTGATTGTCCCCATTGGTTTTGAGAGGATATTGGGTTGCCCAAGAGTGCTTGTGCATAGTTTGACTGAAGTAGCTGTTACTGAAAATAGGCAGGCAACTGCAGCATTGGATCAGATCATGCCTATGCAGACTCTACATGGATTTCAGGGAGCCCTCTGGTTTTTCAAAGGTACTCCAGGAGATGAAATTACAAGAGATGCAGAGGTCCTCAACCCCTGATCTGTAGACCAGCACCAGTATGCGTCATACCGGGCTGTGCAAACAAGTGAAGTTCCATCCACGGGATGTAGGCAGCACATGAAATCAGTCCACGGAAAAATCTCTCCACGACCAGGAACTGGTCCTTGGTGCCCAAACGATTGGGGGGCACTGGCCTACAGCACTATTAGTAGAAGACGAGCAAATCTATGTGAGGTAAAGGTATACCTTGTGCCAACAAGAACGGTGAATATGCAATATAGTTAAGGTGACCCAGCTATTTCTGGATGGTTAAAGAGCAAAGAAAGCACCTGCTAGGCTCCTATAAGGAATGCTCTTGGCATCTTGTATCAAGTTACTAGGATATGCTTTGAATTGGGTGCCAGTTATACAGCTAATATGGAGTGTATTATCTAATGTAAGCTATCGGGGAAGAGTTTGAGTTTGGTCCTGAGGAATTGGACATCTTGAAGTTTTGGTCACCAGTATTTAAGAACCATGTACCTCCTGGTTGGTGAAGGCCTGTGTGGAGATGGCATGTGGTTAAATCCATGTAAGCGTTAATGCAGTTTGGACAGTGGAGTCATTAGAGAATCTTTGTAGAGGTCCAGGTGCTTCTTATCTATGACATTCCCCTAATCTACTAAAATAGTGAAAGAAGGAGATTAAGTTCAGTGTGGCTCAATTTGTTTGCAGCGAACCCTTGGCCTCTTGTTCATTGTAGCCTGCCTAACTAAATGTTCACTAAGCTGCTGCGTGATAATCTGTTGAAAGACATTGCAAAGTATATATATCAAGCTGACAGGTCTTTGTTTTCCTAGATCTTCCTCATTTTGAAAAGTGGGATATCTTACTGAAATGGATTTAAGATCAGCAAATCTTTTGCCCTTTCAGATTTAATAAATATTTGACAAACTTCAATGCACATAACGAAATTCAGGCAAAGAAATGATGTTTTCTTGGCTGTCCATAATATTCTTAGGAATCTTCCATAATGCCAAACTTTAAAAGTATCAGTACTCTTTCGCTACCTGCTTCTTCAAAGTCCAACTTCCATTTCCATAAAGTCTCACAGGGATACTTGCATGATTATCATTTTTATAGATATAGAGACATCATAGTATCAAAATATATAATTTCCAAGGCCTTCGTGGCTACTGCATCAAGTGCTAATCTATGGCATATTTCTTGACAGCTTCATGGTTGACAATAAAAGGCAAAAGCTCACCACTTTGGTATCTTCATTGCCAATTCTAAGGCACCTCAAAAATCACACCCATGCCACAGTGAAAAGAAAAGCAGACATAAATGGCCACAAGATGGCAACAGTGTCCCATAGGAACATTCTCCTGTACTTGACTGTTAAGGAAATCTAATGTGCTGGTTTCTCACCCAAGTGGGTGTGTCCAACCTATATCCTCCCACACCTTTTTTCTGGTGGTAGAAAAAATATATTCTGAGTTGCTTCTACGTACTCTAAAATATATACCATGACTGCTTGCTTGTTCAGTTACTTTTTAAATTGCCTCACTATTGGATATTGAATAATAGAATGTCTTTGTTCTTATTTGTGTGCAGAATCATTTAACTAAATAATTGTGGATTTGGAAAGGATCATAAGTATAATCTTTTCCAACCTTCTGCAATGTGCAGGAAAACCTATTAAATCATCCTTGACAGGTAGCCATTTAGCTTCTTAAAATTTCCTGAGATGGAGAACCCACAGCTTCCAAAATAGACTATTCTGGTGTTGAACAGATCTTATTGTCAGGAAATTTTTCTTTATATGTAAGCAAAATAGAGAAAGCTGCAATTTCATCCATTATTTCTGGACTTAGTTTCTGTGGTGTTGGAAAATAATTCTTGATAATTTTCTCTACTGCATCCTTGTATCTGTCTCAGGTCTTCCCACATTCTCTTTGTAAGTGTTTCAGATCCAATTTATATTAACCCAACAGACCCCATGAGTGAACTGAACTACATCAGTTGTCAGAGTATTAAATATTTTAGGCACATGAGTTGTTTCACTCCAGGTTATGGCTTTGTATATGCTAGATCTGCCACACCTACTGGTAATTTAGTTCTTTAGTCCTAATTTGTCTCTCATAAATCTCAGCATAGTCAAACAGCTGTGTTTGGGATTATGGAAGGTGAAGTTCCATATCGGAAAGATACCAGATTGGGAAGATTGAACTGGATAATAGTTTGGATGCGGGACTTGTGTTTGGAGGGGGAGATGTGTTTGGATGCCACCTCATGAAAAGATAGTTCACTTGATTACATTTTTTCCAATCCTTAAATATAAAGGTGCCGTCAAGAACTGATTTGATTGCCTTATATTGATAAGAAGAAACAAGCAAAGGCAAATCCTTTAGATCAGGGCTGTTAAACTTGCAGCCCACGGGCCATATGTGTCACATGCTGGCCACACCCATGCCTGGTTTAGCGAAGGGGGAAAAAGTCCCAATACATCACATGATGCCACCATGATGACATGAGTTTGACACCCCTGCTTTAGAATCTGGATCTATTGGAAATTATTCTAATCCAGCCTTTCCAATGTTTTTCTTTACATACAGGGAATTCAGTTCTCTTAGTTCCTAGCTAGCATAGCTAAATTGTCTGAGATTTAAGAAAACCTGTGTAGTAACTATCTAAAGACCATCAAGTTGGGAAAAGGCTTATCTAACCAGTATTAAACAGGTAGTGTGTTCTATTATGTGAATTGTTTTTGTTTCATAATATCAGTTACCTTAGAAGTATATCCTTCTTATTTCCATCTCTGTTGAAACCCTCACTGGCCCTTTCTCTCTCTTTCTTTGCATTGCATAGCAAGAAATGTCATTTCAAGGCAGTATCTTGAGAAATTCTCTCTGAGAGCTGAATGGCCCCCACCCTGCTGGTGTTTTGTGAAGGGTCTTGGCTCTTCAACCAGGCCATTAGAGAGAATTACTAAAGCCTCCTATTTTTCCCACTCAATTTGTTATTCTGCCATCTTTACCCTTGTTTCTTACCCTGGTTATTGTTTCTTGTTTATTTTAATATTTTAAATAAGCCACTCTAGTTGCTGAGAGTTCGGTAGTGTGTAAATGTTAATAATGGAAATGCCAAATCAAGTTTGAACATCTGGCCATAATAAGGCCAAATTGTGGTGTGTGAGCATGGAATAGGCATTGTATTAAATATGAGGTTTAAAAGTGAAGCAAATTCAGTAAATACAGACTACTTGGTAATTCAAACTGTAAGGGGAAATATATATCTATTGTATTTTCCAGGCAACATAAAGACTTCCAACCAGACAATGATATAATAGGCATCTTGATCCAGGTGAAACAAGTCCACTGGCTCCTTCCCAAATGACCCAAGCTATCTGTCTGTGGGACAGATGTTTTCCCTTAGGCAACATCTGTTTCTTGTTCAAAGCCAAGCAATCTATTAACTGGAGATGTTACTCTTAGGTTGTGCAGCAAAGGATGAGAAGTTATTCTCTTAAAAATTCAGGTGGGCATTTCCATTACTTGAACTGGTAATTGGAGCCTGGTTTAGCTCAACAGACAGAAGCACTGTAATTTAACACCAGCTGTCTGCAATTAAAGTAAAATCGAATCTCGCCAGGCTCAAGGTTGACTCAGCCTTCCA